GCACCTACTTCCTACATCCCTGAGAACTAATTTCTCTTCTGTTCATTAATTTATTCCCATGAAGTAGTCTTTAAAATGTACATATTATTTGATTCTTACATTTCCTTAGAAATTATTCTTTTTTTTGTTTGCTTGTTTGTTTGTTTTGAGACAGGGTCTCACTATGCTGTTCAGACTGGTCTTGAACTTATTATGTAGTCCAGACTGGCCTTGAACTTGAAGTGATCCTTCTGCCTCAGCCTACCTAGTGCTGGGATTACATGTGTGCACCACTATGCCTGGCCCTTAGATATCATTCTTCAAGAGTGTAAATTGTCTTTTAAAATTTCTTTCCACTATTGGAAAATATCAGTATTTCAACAGGAAGTTGATTATTCTCTCCCCAGATCTGCAGTTATTCTCCTAATTGAAACATCTATCTACCTACCTGTTCTCATATTCATCCATCCAATCCTTCTGTCTGTATAATGATTTTTCCATCACATAATATCATTATTCAGAAGGAAGATTCTAGGAAAGGCTGCATTCTTTGCAATTCATAGGGTGACTTGTTGCTAAAAGATTCAGTTGTGTGAGGCCTCTTGTCCAAACTGCTGCTCATGATGTGGTTTAGCAACTACTTCTGCTATATTTGAGCTAAAAAAAAAAAATCTATTTTGTGTGAAATATAGTTATTTGAAAACACAGAGCTATATAACTGTATCTTTTTCCTTCTGTCAACTGATTCACAGAAATTGTATTCTCCAGGTTGCTGAGTGAGAGTACACATCTGACCTGATATCCCTCTATTTCTCGTAACATCAAGAACTGTCACTTATTACTGTAACTTATCTCTGACCTAACAGTTTTCTGGATGCAATTCTTGTCTGACATGCTTTCTCTTTTCTGTGACAAACATCACCAGTGCATTTCAACATATTTTAACTCCATGGACTGAGGAGTTCCATGTATCTGCACTTAAGACAGAACCTCAACTGCTGTTAATGAAATGTCTGATGAATGTGAGTTCCTCTGTTTTATATCTGAACTTGAAACTAGTAGTTCACAGTCAATACTAAGTCTCTTTGTTCTTTATAAATAATCTAATTTTAAGCTTCTCAAACTGATTGTCTTCCTCCTTCCTTCTTTCCTTTTTGCCTTCCTTTGTTTGAGACAAGGTTTTTCTTAAGCCTCTAAATTGCCCAGGCAGGGCTGGAACTCAGAATCCTTCTGCCTCTCTGCCTCTAGACTGCTGGAATTACAGGAGTGTATCACCACACCCAGGTTTTTTCATGTTTATTTTGATCCATTATTTGTTCTCTGTGAAAGTTTTTAATTCATCCAACTAACTGAATTGAGAAATGGTAGTGATTAGGTGTAGATTTAAATCAAATGTTCTGGGCACAAATCATATCTTAAGCTGAATGACCTTGAACAAGTTCTTTCACTCCTGGTTGCCAAATTTTCCTTATGTGATTTGAGGGCGATCAGAGTGCCTTCATTATAACGTTGTGCAGATTCACAAAATACAGCAAAGGTACACGGTAAGTTCTGTATGAATCACAAGCAATTACCATTTTTATTATTAAGGTCCTGGCTTGATCCAGATCTTCCCCCAAACTAGTCCTATCCCTGAATTCTATCCATAGTTTTATTGTCATTATCTTTCCAATACTACTGAGATATACATCAAATGGTCTCACACTGGAAGTATCAGACAAGACTGTGGTCCATGGACAGATTGATGCTAATGCTGATACCTCTCTACCTTGTGTCTTCTCCTATTGTTTGTTTCTGGTACATCCCCAAATTGCCTGTTGTGCCACAGATCCTGGTGATTTTCCCTCTGGTGGATTCCAAAGGGTAGGAGTTAATCAAATATTCAAATGGTGATCTCTATTCTGAAGATTTTTTATCTTCTTTATGTTATCCAAATGTTAATTAACATAATTATCTATTAAGACTGTTTTTCATATTATGAATGTATAATTTACATACACATATTTTGAACTTCACTACTTTCTAAACTGAGGGAATATGTTGAAAGTATCTACTAGATTAAAGCCCTATGTTAAGTGCTGTGGGCTGCTATGCTATACTATGCTATGTTAAATAGCTATTGTTTTGGGAGGGGTTACAAATTGTACAGTACCCATATATATTCATAGGTGCCTTTGATAATGACAGTAAACATTTCCAGTGTTTTTCCCTCACTTATATGGAATAAACTTTGTGCATTAAAGATCTGAAATGTACATCAATTAACATCTGAATTGGGATAAGTAAATGAAAATTTATGGATAGAAGACAAGCCTGGTGATGCACACCTGTAATCCTAGCACTTGGGAGGCTGAGGCAGGAGGATTGCTGTGAGTATGTAGCCAGCCTAGGCTACATAGTGTGTTGAAAGCCAGCCTGAACAGCATAGTGAGACCCTGTCTCAAAAAACAAAACAAAACAAATCAAATCTGTGGATAGAAACAGTAATGGCACCTTTTTTGGTTTAAAGCCTGGTAATGCATCTCAGCATTTCACCTCCCCTTGCGTTTTATTTTATTGGTAAATGTGCTATTAAAAGTATATATTTATTTCATTTATCTTGAGAAGGCACAGAACAGAGGCAGGGATTTAGCTCACTAAGGTGTGCATTCATCACCTCTAATGCACAAGTTCTACACTCTTACTACGTTTATGAAGTGGTCCACTGAACCAAGCACTGAGAACTAGACTCAATGGCATGAAGTCTTCCCAAGTCATCAATTTGCCAGAAACTAGGACAATAAATTATACCAAGTTCTTCCAAAAGTTCATTTCTGCTCTGTCCCAAGATCAGAATAAGAATGGAAGGGAAAAATTCTTTCCCCCATTGAGAGAAACTCAGTGAGTAATACATCAGGCTCTTTCTTTTGGTAGTAAGTGTGTCTACAAGTCACTTGCCTGAGTTTTTAATTACCTACTTTAGTTCATATGTTAGAAAATGTATTTTTCTTCACAGACTATGTCGTAGGTCACTGGCATCTCTGATTAACGTTCCAGTCTTTGAAGGGCTCAGTGAAGTCCAGGCACATACAGAAATTCCATCTCATGATCCACAAAATTAAAGTCATGGGACAGCATTCAGATTTTTCATGCTTGGCTTTTAGAGGACATAAGTAAATAAAATAGAGGAAAAATTTTCAAGTGATATATTTATTAAAATAGATTGTCTGATAAAATAGTCTTATGTTATACAGGTCCATATAGGAGTGTTCACTTAAAAGGAAAATAGTGGTGAAGTTTCTGAGATAACAAAAGGGGAACCATCTGCTACACATGGCCAGTAAGGAATTTCTGAGGTGACTGGCAAAGGCAGTGTTTCAAAGGAAACATTGTTTTTGCTTTATTGTAATAGGTACATTTTGTAAGTGCTAGCAGATACATGAAGTCCTATCTTCACACTCTGGAAGAAAATGTTCTTAACCATACCTTTGCCTTTCTGATAGTTAAAATTTTCAAAATCAACTGACATTAAAGGAAGATTCTAGAAAAGTAATTTGAAGTTTTGCTTAAAATCACATTTTCATATATAATAGGTAATGTGAAATAGGAAGAAAAGGGGCAAAGGGGAAGGAAGTGGGAGGGCTAGGGGAAAGGATAGAAGGGAATAAGATTAATAAGAGAAAATGGAAAAATAGGAACAAAATCTTTGTAAATAGGGAGGAATGGAGGGGTTGAAGGGAGGGCTGGGCAAGGGTGAAAAATAAGAACCAAGAGAGATTATGTAAAGGTGCAAATTTCCAATGATGAATGTCATTATATTGTATACCTAAAATGTACCAATGATTAGAATGAATAATTGATAATGCAAAATAGGAAGAAAAGGTCCAAAGGGGTAGGGGTAGTGGGAGGGGCAGGGGAAAGGAAAGAAGGGAAAGGAAAAATGATGAGAAATGGAAAAAATGGAAATAAAGTCTTTGTAAATAGGGAAGGGTGGAGGGGGTGAAGGGAGGGCTAGGAATGGGGAAAAATAAGAACCAAGATGCATTATGTAAGGGTACCATCCCCAATGAGAAATGTAATTGTGTTGTATACCTACAATGTACCAATAAAAGAATTTTTAAAAAATCACATTTTCATATAACTAACTTGTGAAATTTAAAGATCTATTCTTCTAGCAAATGAAATTATAGGTTTATAATTCACTATAACTAGAGGAGACTGCATAAGATAAAATAGTCTAGGTCCTTTCACTGAACACATACGGCATTAGACATTCTACATTTGCCACCTTTGTACCCAAGTCTGGAAAATGGTGATGCTACCAACAGAATCAAAACTATATAATACTATCGAGTGCATTTGCTATTTCCCTCACCCTGAACTATTTCATTTCTAAGTGATCTGAAAACTTCTTGTCCTCAATAATAACAGAAGCTGAATGAAATCTGTATTAGTAGGTATCCATGTGAGAATATATACTACATACACATTGTATGACTGTGTATGTCTTTTTCCATGTTTACTTTTAGAAGATACTAAGACTTGCGCCCCTAGCAATATAAATAAATGAAGAACCTAGAAGCATCTCAATTTTCAAGATTAATGGTAGGGAAAGAGAATGTCAGAATTCAAAATGGCACCCAATCACTTGGGCTAAAAGTCTATGTAATAACTCAATTTATAATTTTAACAATAATTTACACAATGTTAGGTGTGCATGGTATGAGTACAAAATAGTATGTTTGATCAATGCCCACAGTACAAGTTTAGAATGGAGAAGAGATCATTGGTCACATTCAATTCCACCCCTATTCCCTATATGGCAACCGATTTATTATTAGTGTTAGGAAATTATTTCTAACTAGATACATAGGGATTTATATGTCTCAGGTGTGTATTAGAAAAGACATGAAATAAGATTGTGGCAAGGGGAAGTATTTTATTGCTTTATTGTTTATATTTTTGCCCTTACAAACATAATTGCAGCTGAACAATCCTGAGGAACTGTGTGGTGCTTTATCTTGTCCAGCAGCATTACTCACCTTCAGGTCCCGATGGACTACGCCCATCTGATGGCAGTGTAGCACAGCCTCCAGGATCTGCTGAATGCAATGACTGCATGCAAACACCAGGGGGCGTGTGTTAGTTCCAAGCTTACACTCACTGTCTGTATAACCTCAGAGAGACTGGGTTCAAGTGCAGAACTAGCAGACAACTGGAGTATTTAAATCCTTCCATAATGTACACATATTGCTCAAGGAGAGTGACTACTACCCCAGGACAAGTGAGGATATTGCCAGATGTGAGCCAAAATGTGAATCCACTTGTTCTCCCCAAAATCCTTTTTAACACTAATTTAATTTTATTCAGGAGCAAATTTCCTAGTTATAAATTCTTCCAGGAAATGAACTAGAACATAGATATAAGGTTTGTAGTTGTGTTCTGTCTCCATCCTATGCACAAAATTTATTTTCCTATTTTTCTCTCACTTTTACAGTTTTGTCCTAAAAGCCGTTCCATTAGCAGCTGTTCCATTAGCAGACCAGGTTAAATTAGGATATGTAATGAATTTTTTATAAATCATTAACTTTATGTGGTTTAATTTAGCTGGCAATTATTATCTTTTTGCCTCAGGATTTGTCGGACTCAAATGGAGCAATGCGTAACCAGTTGTTCTGCTATAGCAACCCGTGGTCTCAGAACAGAAGTGGTGTTTAAATCTACAGGCAACATACATCACAGGCCAAGGTGAGGTCCAGCAAACGCTGGGCATTCAGGAAGGGCCGCTCCACATGGCTGGACTGGTTCACTGCTTGGAAACAGAACCTGGTGTATTTCTCATCTTACACCCCCCACCTCAACCCCGCCGCCGTTTTCCCTGCTATGATATATATTGAGCCTGTAGAGAAGCAAACTGAAAGAGGCATCATGCATTATCATTTTGTTGGTTACTTGTTTCAGGAAAATGTCAGAAAAGGCAAGGGAACCATTTCCATACAGCCTCCCCTCTGCCCTTTCCCCGGAAAACAACAAAGAATCTCCTTTGATTCAGATTTACAGACTCCATATACTGACCTTCAGGTCCCTGTGCACTATGCCATTTAGGTGACAATGATTTACACTTTCTAGAATCTGCTGTATACAATGACTGCAAAGATACAAGGGCAGAATGGAAGGGAGAACATTTTAAAGGCACATAATCACATTGAATACGAAATAAAATGAAAGTTCAAACAAAACAAAACAAATGAAAAATTATACTGCTTCACTTTTTTAGCTTTACACTGGAATTAAATGTCAAATAAAGTTAATTCTGGTTATAACAAAAATGACATCCAACATAGAATTTGTGACATGTTCAGACAAAACAATTTGAGCTGTGTTTTTTTTTACTGTAAATCTATAAATTAAATCATCTATATATAGAAGATGAAATTTCCATATTCAGGAAGATAAATTTATAAGTAGTCCCAAAATGCTCTGGGAAAAACATCTCCCAGAGATACAACATTTCCAGATATTTCTCAGACACATCTAAACTGTTTAAAATCTGAGGTCACAATTAAACATAAGTGTTGAAACAAGAGGGTAAAGGCAAATGAAGTGGCAGGTGAAACAAGGGTTTAAAAAAAAGGGAGTGACACAGCTACATTGTTTTTTTTTGAGACAGGATCTAAGTTTCTGTCTAAAATCTATCTAAGTTACTTGCCCAGGCTGGGCTCAAACTTGTGATCCTCTTGCCTCAGCCTTCCAGAGTGCTGAGATTACAGGCCTGAGCCACTATTCCCAGCTTCAAGTTCATCCATCATACATTTATCATTTTGACTTAGAACTAGCGATTCCTATATAATGCAAGCCTTCAATAACAGAGGGAGAACTGAAAGTAAACTGGTGACTTGAAGTAAACCCCACTTCAGTATGAGAATACTCTGTGGAAAGGCTGCTTATTACTTTGTCAAACCATACAATTTATGCTATTCTTATTAAAGGCTCACTGATGTCAAGTAGACTGCTAATTAAATTGTAGAGGAGAATTCTCTGGCCTGGCACCCACAAGGTCTCATGAGCTGTCACCTGACATGTCATAATGTAGAACACATCACACGATGAATTCTGTGCGATTCTAATGCAAATGTGTACAGAACCACATTCAGTTAAGGATGATGCAAACAATTTGGTAAGGCCACTTCCAATCATTTCATGTATAAAATATCATTAAAGAAAATTATTGAACTAAAACTGTAATTGGTATATAATTTATTACATGTAAATATAAAAATATTAATCATAATTGTGATTTTTCTAGTTCTAACTCTATTAACAGTACCACAAAAACAGCCTCCCATGGGTGGTTGATGACTATGTAGCTCATTTGAGTACTGGTCATTATTTTTAAACCATGAGGCTCTTTTATGATCATGTTCACTTCATATCCTTTATTAGGATTATTTCTTTCTTTGCTTTGTTGTTTTTTTTTTTTGGTACCGGAGATCGAACTCGGGACCTTGCGCTTGCGAGGCAGGCAGCAGAACCACTGAGCTAAATCCCTGGCCCTTTCTTTCTTTTCTTTAATCATAAGGATAATTTATTGGCCCTAGGGAATAATGGGAAAGTAAATAAACAAACAATATTCATATTATATGAGCTATTTTTTTTTTTATCAGGATAGATTCGATTCTTAAATTTTCTTTTTCAGGGCTAGAAATATACAAGCTTGGCTAGCATTCTACAATAGAGCCACACCCCTTGTCCCCAGTTCTTTAGTTACTGAGAGCAGTAAGAAAATGACTTTTATAAAGTTGATTAATTAATTTGGTGCTAGAGGTTGAATCCAGGCCCTTTGCACTGAGCTACATTCCCAGCTCTTTTAAAAATTTTTTTATTTTGAGATAGGGTCTCACTAAGTTGCTAAGTTTCCCAATAGACTCAAAGATACTATAATCTTCCCACTTCAGTGTCCCACAGTGCTAGAATTACAGGCTTGTGTCACCATGCCTGGCTCTGCAAATGCAGTGGACCCTTGACTTATGAACTCAGTCTGTTCCTGAGGGCTGGTTGTAAAACAAATTGGCCAACTGAAGGCTCAGTCTCCCCTACACTGGCTTCAAAGTCTCTCTCCTATTTGCAGGCAGATATCAGCATTCTCCACATGTGTAAATACCGAATAGTTTCTCTAGTGTGAGAAACTGAAAGTGTAAATAAGGACTAAAAGGTATAATGGATGATGTGAAATGGGAGGAAAGGGGGCAAAGGGGAAGGGAACATGGGAGGGGTAGAGGAAAAGAAAGAAGGGAATGGAATTAATATGAGAAAATGGAAAAATGGAAACAAAGTCTTTGTAAATAGGGAGGGATGGAGGAGTTGAAGGGAGGGCAGGGGAAGGGGGAAAAATAAGAACCAAGAGAGATTATGTAAAGGTGCAAATTTCCAATGATGAATGTCATTATATTGTATACCTAAAATGTACCAATGATTAAAATGAATAATTAATAATGCAAAATAGGAAGAAAAGGTCCAAAGGGGTAGGGGAAGGTGGGAGGGGTAGGGGAAAGGAAAGAAGGGAAAGGAAAAATTATGAGAAATGGAAAAAATGGAAACAAAGTCTTTGTAAGTAGGGAAGGATGAAGGGAGGGGAGGGGAAGGGGGAAAAAATAAGAACAAAGATACATCATGTAAAGGTACAAGATCCCAATGAGAAATGTAAATGTATTGTATACCTAAAATGTACCAATAAAAGGATTAAAAAAAAAAAGATATCAGTGGCCCTAGGCTGGGGATTTAGCTCAATGGTTTTGCCACCTGCCTTGCAAGTGTAAGGACCCAAGTTCGATCCCCAGTACCAAAAAAAAAAAGAGACATTGGCCCAGGATTTCTCAATTAACCCCACACATGGAAAGGATGTTGTAACATTCCTTCCAGAACTCTTTAAGGGTTAAATCTGTATCTGAGACCTTCTAGAAGCACAAGTGGCCAGCATTTGGGCTGTAACTCAAGACTTTGTGAATTAAAACTAAAATTCCAGTTGTAACCTAAATTGTTGGTATGCCAGGCTGGTTGTAACTCAAGGGTCCACTGTACTTCAAGAATATCTTGCTTATGCTTGTAGTAGGGAAGAGAATACTTCTTTTCTTTGATTTCCTAGCCTAGAAAGTATCTATGGGTACTTCTCAAATTTAATGCAAATGTGCATATTAAAAGATCCAATAGTGTCTGTCCTATTATTTATAGGGCTCTGCAGTAGTAAAAAGAGTCTCTGTCTTAATTTCAACCAATACTGTACATACCTAATGCATGTTTAATATAACATTGACACGTAAGATAAATAAAATGTCCTAACTTGTTTACAAGCTTAATTAAAATTATTACTGTCTCCTGGCAAGTGGGCAAATAGGTACTGCAAGGCTGCTCTGAGGCCCTTTTCTGGGGCTTATTGTGGAATCGGAGGTAAATTAAACAACTGATGATTCATTCATCGTAGTATAAGTGGCACAGAATTTGACTTTGGCAGTAAAAATGCCATTAAGAAATTGGAGTATAGTCATATACAGATAGATTCCCAGAATGCCATAAACAGTAGCATTAGTCAAATAAAATTAGAAATTTAGAAGGGAGTTTGTGTGTGCATGCAGTACTTTGGTGGGACAGGGAACTCCAATTGTCAGGTGAATACCTGCAAAGGGTCTAGCTTCAGGGGTGTAGCCTAAGACAGGGGACCAGACAGACAGAGACTGAATTCTTACTTCTCATTTATGTGGTTAGTGTGCTTATGGCTCTCGATCAGATTTTTTTTTAAACAAGTAGCAACTATAGAATATATAAAGATTGCAGAGAAAAATTAAAATCACACAGTCTAAGTAATATCTAAGTAAGTGTATAAATATTACTTTACTCCAAAAAATGTTGCCTTTGGGTAAAGGTAGTAGTTTCAAATTAGGCAAAATGTTAAATCTTTTTAAAACAACTGTGAAGATTTGTCAAGTAACAAGATTCCTCCTAAACATTCTGAAATATTTGAATAAATATTTTTCAAGATGGAGTTCCAAGGACTTTAATGAAATTTCCAGGGATAAAAAGTCAATAATAATGTTTTAAAGAGACCACTGGGGTTTTTATTTGTCTGTTTTTGCTCTTGACTAGATATGAGCTATTGGGTGGAACGTCTGTGATGATGGAAATGGTCTCTGCGCAATTGTTAACCAGCACGATTTGTGACTACTAAAGCCCTTGGAAGGCACCTAGCCCAACTGAGAACTGATAGCAATGTTTAGGCCACATTCATAGAGTTCTTTCTTTTTTCCCTTTAAAAATCATGCTGGAGAGCCTTAAAAAAGAGAAATTTCATTTAAGAGAGGACTTCTTAACAAGAAATCCAAATGGTACTGTGAAATTCTAAATACTAGGAAGTGTCACTTGTCCAGGGCAAGTAACTTACCTGGCATCAGCTTCACTGTAATATTCTCTGGCCACTATGTCTTCAAACAGTTCACCTCCAGTAACTCTATGAAAACAAATAATGATAATCACATTAAAAAACAAAAAAATCAGGCATCAATAGATTTGTAAGTAATGTTCACATAGAATTTTATTTTTGGTTTTTAAATTATCAAAACCAAGTATTTTAATACATTCTGAGATTCAGCTTTCCTTCAGTCAAATCTCTACAATCTATTTTTCTGTATGTCATAAGTACATTCAGCAATATCTTTTACAGGAAATGGTTTCTATGAAAGTATTCATTTTAGTCCTCTGAATATTAATTGAGGTCTGGCAAAATGCACAGCACAGTTTGGGAATATTTTCTGAACAAAAAGAGAAAATATGCATCTCAGCTGCTCAGTGTGAGTTTGCAAACTGTATTTTTTGCCTTTCACTACTTGTGCGTGTGTATCACTAAATCTATGCTTCTCCCATGCAAACACTCACAATGCAAATACACAATTTTCTTACAAAATTGGGATTAAACAATATCCACAAATAAACTAATTGTGTTATTCATGTTATATTAAATCACAAGTGCCGTTTCATATGGAAGTGTTTTTTCATTTTTAAAATAACAGCAACACAGAGTTATGCATGTGTGTATGTGCACATGTGCACACACATATATTTGCATATTTTAGGGTCTTTCTAGAAAAAAATTCTTAGAAATAAAATTTCTCTGTCAAAGAATTCCCACATTTGAAATTTTGTTGGGAGACTAGGGTCAGCTGCCTTGCAAAATAGTTCAGTTTATGGTTGAGAAAAATGGAGGCCCGAAGAAGTTAAGTGACTTGTCCAAGATTATATAGCGTTGATGGCATAGGCAGGCTACCCACAGCCCACATGAGTGGCCACTGCACAATGCAGCCTTGCTATAATGATACCGTCACATTTTCTAGATGTGTAGAAGGCACAAGTTATTTAGAAAAACATCAAGTGAAGGAATTGCATTTTGTGTATGATTATTATAGAGTGTGATGTGAAGACAGTTTTTTTCTCTTTGTTCTCATTTTTTGTGTGTGCATTTTTACATTCTAGAACATCATGAAATGATAGTATGTTCCAGGGACTACTGGTTATTATTCACTTTTCTGGTCTTGTTCCTAAAGAAAAAGACAGAGTAGGAAAAACCGGAAAATTGTCAGGACATGTATACCACTCTCCCCTCTCTCCATTGCATTCTGGATTTTTAAAAGTCTCTTAATGTGGGAGTATTTCCAGTCCTATTATTTTTACATATAAAATGTGCCCTACATTCAAGAGATGCAGATGAAAAAACCACTGAGATTCCACCTCACCCCAGAAAGAATGGCTGCTATCAAGAAATCAACCAATAACAAATGCTAACTGGGGTATGGAGAGAAAGAACCCTTCTCCACTGCTGGTGGGAGTGCAGACTGGTGGAAGCACTGTGGAAATCAGTATGGAGATACCTCAAAGAACTAGGACTGGAAGTCCCATTGACCCTGCTATTCCACTGCTGGGTATCTTCCCCAAAGAATTAAAAGAATCATACCACAGCAATATATGGGCACCTATGTTTATAGCGGCACAGTTTGTAATAGCTAAAGCTTGGAAACAGCCCAAGTGCCCATCAACTGGAAACTGGATAAATGAAGTTGTGTTTTTTATAAAATGGAGTACTACTCAGCCATAAAGAAAGAGAAACTAGAGACATTTATAGCTAAATGGATGCATATTGAGGCCATCCTCTTAAGTGAAATAAATAGGATACACGTGTAAATACTGAATAGTTTCTCCAGTGTGAGAAACTGAAAGTGTAAATAAGGATTAAAATGATTAAAATGAATAACTGATAACTTGAAATAGGAAAAGGTCCAAAGGGGTAGGGGTGTTGGGAGGGGAAGGGGAAAGGAAAGAAGGAAAAAGGAAAATTATGAGAAAAGAAAAAAATGGAAACAAAATCTATGTAAATAGGGAAGTATGGAGGGGGTGAAGGGTGCACAGGCAATGAGGGAAGAAATAAGAACTAAGATATATCATGTTCAGGTACAAGCACCCAATGATAAATGTAAACATATTGTATACCTAAAATGTACCAATAAAAGAAAAAAAATTAAAAAATAAAATGTGACCTAAAATGCTCATATTAAGCTTCTTCATATGGCCTTGCTCTTAAAAACATTATACATATAATTTCATTTAGCAGCATAGCTATTTTCTCCAATTAGAATCTACAATAATATGCAATCACAAAAATGCCCTAGATAAATTATAATACAAAATAATTAGGGCTGGGGATTTAGCTCAGTGGTGCCACCACTTGCCTCATAAGCACAAGGTTCTGAGTTTGAGACCTGGGAAAATAATAATAGTAATTAATAGAAAGTACTTAGTCTACCACTGAGCTACAGCTCTAGTGTGATGTTGACTTTTTTTTTAACATTGAGTTTTAGATTATGTAGTTAGGTGTTTTTGATACCATTCTTTTTCATCTTCTAGCATTGATTCTTCTATTTTAAAATATTTTTATGTAAATAATCATTTTATCATATTGGTGACATGTATGATAAATGTCTAAGAAGGAAAAAGTGGGAGTTACAATAGAATCCACTGCCTGAAAAAGAAACTAATCCATTCCCTATCTTTAATATATTTCTAAACTCACATTATTATTTAATGGAGCACAAAATTAAGCAGTAGCTATTACAGAGTTTTGAACAATTTTAGTGAGCTATCTGAAAATTCATATAATGGCACAAATTAAATCAGTTCCATGAATAAACTGTTAGATTAATTAATTAGAAATTTATGAATAAATTGGTGCCAGAGTTGTTATGATATGAAGCATATCAATTATAGATTTGTAGGATTTATTATCACTCAAATATCTAGAGCATTAGGGTTTATAGGAAAAAAGGGATAATCTAGGCAAAAATTCCATATAACAAAAAGATTTTATTTTATTAATATTTTTATTCATATTGTATTACTCTGAAAAATGAACTGTCTTTTTGTTTGTAATCTGTATACTTGTGAGTTATATCAGAAATAATAAAAAGTAGTTGTACATTGGAAGGCTGAAAAGGATTGTAAGTTCAAGACCAGTATGGGCAACTTAGCAAGTTCAAGGCCAGCCTAGACTACACAATAAGATCTTGCCTCAAAAAAGTTAAAAGTAGTTTCACCTTGAATGAAACATTTGTAAAATTTCATAAATAATGCAGATTTTACTGTGAGACTGCAGATGGTAAAGTCTAAGAAGGGGCTCTAAACAGTAAACTGGTGCACATTGCCTAAGAAGTAGCACTGTTTGAAGATAAGCACTGGTGGATGCCTGAGGTGGTGGAGGAAAAGCCAAGAGCCTCAGTTTGGAGTCAAACTGGAAAACAGGAACCAAAACCAGGGCCTAGCTGGTACACAGAGAGGTAGCATCTTGCCAAGGCAGGACCAGGAATCTCCCCTGGAAAAAGAAATAATTCCCCTAGGAAAACAGTGTGAAGCTGAAGGGTGAACACCATAAACTGAGACCATTAGACCCAGAATCCCAGGCTCCAAACAGGGGCAACACAGGTCCACCAAGGACTTAGGCAACAGATTGTTGTCTACTTATACATCTGTGGAGAAACATGTTTCTTGACACTCGAGTGATGTGTATGGTTTTGTCTAGTGATGAAGGCAGACACTGTGATGGTGACATATTCATCCATGTGAATTCATCCAACACACTGCCTCCCATATTGCTGAACAATGGCAGCAGATACTGGCAGGGTGCTACCACCTGTGCCACAGATGCAATATTTGTGTCGCCCTTATTTCTGTTAAAATCTGGTCCCCCAAAGTGATGGCAGTGGGAAGTGGGGACTGTGGGAATTAGGTCGTGAGAGAAAGCCTTCACAAATGGGATTAGTGTCCTTAAAAAGGGACCCAGAGATCTCTCTCCCCTTTTTCCTCAAAGTGAGGACACTCAGTCTGCTAGTGAGAGCTGGGAAGAGGTCACAAGTCAGGGTAAAGTTGGTCAGGTTCCCTTCATGTGATTGTCTCCCGTGAAGAAAGACTGTCAGCCCCAGTGCCCACACTATGGGCTAGCAGCATGACAAAGTCAATGTGACAACCAGAATGCCCACACCTCCCACTTCTGGTCACCACAATGGTCTACTAGAAATTCCTAATAACCACTGAGTTAAGGGCACAAAATCTGTGAGAATACTGTAGAAAATGGAGGACTCTTGGCATCATATTCTGAGATACAGAGAAATCAAGCCAGCCACCAGTGTAAAGATCTTTCAGGCAGATCAATAAATGACAAACATTGAATTTTCAGCACCTTACCCAGAGCCTGGCACTCTGAGAGAGCCGAATAAATGTCTGTTGAGGGTATAACTAATTAAATGGCTGAATGAAACTATCATCATCAGTTTCACAACATTACAGTTTGAGCTAGAATCTGAGGATGAACAGAATGAATCACCTCTCATATATATTATTTATCTAAACATGTGAACTACATCCTGCCAATTCTATCTCCAAAATGGAATTGAAAGAGTCTTCTTTCTATCTCCACTTCATGTTACCACCTCAAGTCACCTCCATGGTCTGTACCACTTTACTAGCCTAATCGGCCCTGTTTCCTCTCTGGTCCCACTGCTTTAATTCACTATGTAACAGCTTTAAATGTGTATCATATTTTGCTTTTACCAGCATAAAGTTCTTCAATAGCGGTCTACTGATCTTTCATAGTCAATTTCTTCCATTACCCTCACATCTCTCAACTTGCATAGGTGCCCTTTTCTGTCTGCTCTAGCCATCATGGCCTTCTTCCAGACCCTCAAGTGCACAGGATTCCTTCCTATCTGCCCTAGAACTTTTTCACATGCTCATCTCTCCCCAGGACATTCCCAATCTGTCTACCTTTACTACTTGCTGAGTAAGTCCCTGTTTACCATTGCCACGAGGTGTCACTCAACGACTCATGTATTGAGGACTTAATTTCCAAAGCAGCAATATTCAGAGGAGGAGCCCAGAGTGGTAATTGGATCAAGGGGGCTTTAGCTTCAC